ATATTGAAAAAAAAAAATAGTTAAAATCCAGAAAAAAAACGTGAAAAAAATGTTACGAGGCCAGGAGCTGCTAGAATTTTATTTCGTTAAAGCGATGATAAATATCCGAGAATGTCCCATGGGGAGTCTTCCCTCATGGAGAGTGCAGTTGGTGGATCGAGGAAAATCCAATCACAATTTAATTAAACTCTGAAAATTTGAATTTTTTATATTACATTTTTTTGCTCATCAGAGCCGATTAGTTACTAAGGAGTTTCATTGAGGAAATCACAGTAATTGCCCCATCTCCCCCTCTCCCCAATAATTAAACAAAAAATGAAGTGAATGTAAAATGGATGTTTGCTTATGAATTAATATTTATAAATGGAAAAGGGAAAAAGCCTAGTGGTGTATAAAGTATCGGCTTCATATTGTTGATGTTTATTCCCCTCCTCTCCCCTCCCGCCCCGCTCAGCCCCCCACGATCGACCTGACGATGACGAATGTGTATAAATTTACCAGCCCGAAAAGTGATGATAAAAAATTGACAAAAGAATTCCGTAAAATGTAAATAAACGAAAAATTTGAAAATAAATTTTTCTTTCATTTTCCACTGTACAACGCTCGCTCAAGAGGGTAAATTTTTATTTTGCGTTCTGGAGATAATTCATCACTCATTCTCACACCGCAAAATCATCAATTAATAATTATACAAGAATATTTTGTTATTTGCAGCGACGAAACCGAAGATAATCCCGAAGCAGACAATTGAATCAGCTAATTTTGAAATTTTGTTTTAACCGATTATTTTGTGTAAAGAAAAAAAAATGAAATGATAAATTCGTCGGAATCATTATTTTTTTCCTTTTCAAACTTTATTTTCCTCTAGAGGTGATTATTATGAGAGAATTATTGTATTGGGTGCATTATTGCCGAGTGAATAAATGAATGATATAAATGATGAAAATGATTTTTAATTGATGAATGGAGCATGCGTGATGAAGAAGCGCGCCAATTATGCATTAGTATGAATTTCATCAGTGAAAAAGTTTAATAAATCCATTAACGAGTAGACAGCATGATTTTCATGATAATTATTAATAATTTCAATGGATCATGAAAATTATGCCCCATTCAGAACCCAAGTGATAATGAAGTTACAGAAATTCAAAATCTATATAAAACTGCTTGTATATGAATCAATATTTCACAGAAATAAAGTAGATGTTTGCCTCGTATACCGCAATTGTAATGTACTATAAAATAAAATAAAATAAAAATCCAAACGATACAACCAATCCAAATTAAAATATCATAATGACGCTAGGAAATTTGTCTCTGTAATTTTCATTGTAAATGTTAATTGTACCGGCGTTGATGTATTTTGTTAATCGGCCTCTAATATACTGATAATTTAACTAAACCATTTTTCTTTATTCTATCGAAAAATTCAATGAAATAA